GGGGGGGGGGGGGGGTCTGAGGAATGAGAGGGAGGGAGGGAAGTAGAAAGAGACAGGGAAGTGGGTGACACGAGTGGAAATTTCCACGGGCAAGCAGCAGGGTGCTGGCTGCCGTGTGTGTCACCTGATTAGCTGTGGAATAACCCGTCTTCCATCTGCCCCTCTGCGTCCCCACAGGCCACGTCCTTAGGAAACTATTTACAGCTGCTGTCTGTGAGTTGGGTTTTAGGTGGGAATGGAGAGAGCTTCATTTCACATCTGGATTTATGGGTACAGGTAGTGTGAGCCCATCTGGAGGCAGAGGGGCTAGGAGAACAGGAGCCCCCCTTTCCTCCCCGTCCCCCCGAATGCACAGGACCCTCTGGGGCAGGCCTTGGGCTTGGGAATGGAGAGATCTCGCTCTATCCATGCTGACATCAGGGATGTGAGCGCCCTGGAGTCCCAGCACCTGTGTCCTCAGGCTGGGCTCTGCCCGCAGCACGTTAGGCCTGACCAGCTTGGAAACCTCCCTGAAGGTTCCAGATCAGTGCCCTGAGACCACTCCTCCCCCAGCGGTAAGGTGAGCTCAGGGTGGACAGGCATGTGAGCGCCGCCCCACACCTCCCACCCACCCAGACACACATAACCCCTGCCGGTCCGCTCAGCACCGTCCTGGGCGGCAGTGCAGCGGAGCTACAGGTGGGCCAGCGAAGCCTCCGCACAGTGAGACCCCAGAGCAGGCCCAGACGGGAGACCAGAGGCAAACAGAGAGGCCCTGGAGCAGAGGGGGCGGCAGCCCACACTCAGGACCTGCCCGCGATGGAGCCAGGAGGGTGCAGCTTGGCCCGGAGGCTGGGGTGCCGGCTCTGGATTGCCATCAGCAAGGCGCTGTTCGCCGAGTTCCTGGCCACGGGGCTGTACGTGTTCTTCGGCGTGGGCTCGGCCATTCGCTGGCCCTCGGCGCTTCCCTCTGTGCTGCAGATCGCCATCACCTTCAACCTGGCCACGGCCATGGTGGTGCAGGTGACCTGGAAGGCCAGTGGGGCTCACGTCAACCCCGCGGTGACACTGGCCTTCCTCGTGGGCTCCCAGATCTCCCTGCCCCGCGCTGTGGCCTATGTGGCTGCCCAGCTGGCAGGAGCCATTGTGGGGGCTGCTCTGCTCTACAGGGTCACCCCAGGAGACATCCGAGAGACCCTCGGGGTCAACGTGGTAGGTGCAGGGAGGGGCACCTGCAGGGCCAGGAGGGTGGCGGGCCAGGCAGAGGAGAGGGGCAGGGAGGTAACCGCTCCGGCATCTACTTCACACTTGCTGTGCTGGCCCCGGGACCCAGGGAATCAGACTGGTGTGGCTTTAGTGCAGACAGAGCAGGGGTGGGGTCGTGGATTGAGGAACAGGTGGGAGCAGCCACACGAAGGGGCAGGAGTTGGAGAAGGACCAGGCATTCAAGGGTTGGGGTAGCCAGGGAGGGCTGGGGCTGTCGGTGACGGCAGGAACCCTGCATGCACTTCATCTTCCTCCCCACGTTCCCCCCGGCACCCTAAGGCCTGTTTCACCCACCCCCAACCAGATTCCCCTAGTCATCTCTGTTCCACCTACTTCCCCAATCTCCTCCTTCCACTCCCACCCCAGTCTCTTCCCAATCAGCGTGCAAACACGCACCCCAGCTTCTCCATGCCTTCTCTTTCCCACCAGTCCTGAGCCCCAGCCACCCCCTAAATCACTGGCCCCAACCAACCTCTGGGGTGGGAAGGGTGACGCTACTTCTGCAGGGAGCAAGTGGCCAGGGCTGACCCCAACCCCCTGCACAGTCCTAAGTCCTGGCCCTGGCAGTGGTGAGATGTGACACAGGAAATGGGTGGGGTCGCCGGCCCCTGGCAGAGCCTGCGGATTCCAGGGTAACCCTCTCACCCAGGTCCAGAGCAGAGTCTCAGTGGGCCAGGCGGTGGCGGTGGAGCTGGTTCTGACCCTGCAGCTGGTGCTCTGTGTCTTTGCTTCCACGGACAGTCGGCAGACGTCGGCTTCCCCGGCCGCCATGATTGGGACCTCCGTGGCCTTGGGCCACCTCATCGGGGTAAGGGGCAGAGGGGCTGCGGAGGCCAAGGGTGGAGCCGGGTCTGAACCATGGCAGCGGGGACTGTCCCCTCCTGGGCCTGCCTCAAGCCTCTTCACACCCTGAACCCACAATCACTCCCCAGGTCTACTATACCGGCTGTTCCATGAACCCGGCCCGCTCCTTCGGTCCTGCTGTCATCGTTGGCAAGTTCGAAGTCCACTGGGTGAGACCCTCTGCTGGCTGCCATGGGGGGGGGAGTGAGGGCCTGAGTCGGGACTGAGGCTTTGCCAGGGGCAGGCAGACAAGTCTTCCTGCCACAGACCATCTTGACCCCTGATGGAGGTTTCCCTGAGCTCAGACCAGGGCTTGTACTTCCTTTCTTTCCAGCTTCAACAGCCCAGGGGACCCAGTGGACTGGCTAGAAATGGGCCAGGGCGGGCACCGCAGCCTCAAGTCCTGGCTGTTTCCTTATTCACTTTCTCCAGCTGGACCAATTTCCAAACTTGGATAAAGAACAAGGCAAACAGAAATAGACACACACACACACCAGCAAAGATAGGAACAGCACTAGCCAGGGCTCCGGCTGGCACAGGGGAGGTGAGAGCAGGGAGAAAGGAGTGGTGAGGAGCCTGGGCTGCCCGTGGGAGGCACGATCCCCTCCCCGTGGGCGTCTGGACAGGACTCCTGCTTCTCAAATCTGCCACCTTTTAGGCAGCTCGCGGGCTCCTGGGAGACCAAGTCAGCACTGGGGGAGCAGGCAGGGGTCCCAAAGCCACCCTATGACCCTGATGGCTCACCAGCCGGTGCCCATTTCTCCTGCCTCCGCAGATCTTCTGGGTGGGACCCCTGACAGGGGCTGTCCTGGCATCGCTCATCTACAACTTTATCCTGTTCCCTGACACCAAGACCCTGGCCCAGCGGCTGGCCATCCTCACAGGCACCTCGGAGATGGAGAAAGTGGAAATGGTGGAGCCCCAGAAAAACGAACCCCAGTCCAAGCCAGGGGACACCGAAATGGAGAATGTGGGTCAGATAGCATAGAACGTGGCCCTTGCCGCAGGCTTTTTTTTTTTTTTAAATATATTTTATTGATTTTTTACAGAGAGGAAGGGAGAGAGATAGAGAGTTAGAAACATCGATGAGAGAGAAACATCGATCAGCCGCCTCCTGCACATCTCCTACTGGGGGTGTGCCCGCAACCCAGGTACATGCCCTTGACCGGAATCAAACCTGGGACCTGGCCGACGCTCTATCCACTGAGCCAAACCGGTTTCGGCTTGCCGCAGGCTTTTGAGAGGCCTGTGCGTGGGCAGATGTCTCGTGTGGCCGGATTTCAGGTTTTCCGAGGAAAGGGGGGTTTTTAAGGGTGTGTAGGGAGGCTTGGCCTCTTGTCCTAACAGGGTGGGCAGGGGATACCAATCCCTCTCCCGGGCATACATTTCTAGATAGAATTCGGGGAGCAAATCTGTTCCGCTTCCTCCTCCTCCATCTCTAATGGAACAGAGCAGAGGGAGGCAGGGGGATTCACGCCAGGGCTCCCGGCTGGTACAGGGGAGGCGACTCCAGATCCCCAGGTGTTGGGAAGAACAGGGGAATTAGAGCCCAGAGAGCCGGTCTGCTTAAAGACTGAGGGCTAAAGGGACCTCAGGGAACCCCAACCTCTTACCCCACCCTTAGGGAGGAGAGGCCAGACTTCCCAAAAGACTCAGGGCTCCTCAGAGGGATCACTGCCCTTCGGTGTGGTTTGAGGGGGCTATGGCTCCCCCCTCAGACTGGGGGCTTCTTGAGGACAGAGATTACCCTCCCAATAGATCTTCATTCCTCACTCGCCCCAAATGCTCAGGAGAGAACCCCACCCCTGGGAAGAGCTGAAACAGAGAGGAAGCTTTTCTCGGGCTAGCAGAGGGGCAGCATACAGGCAAGGAAGGTTTGAGCCGACGGGCCTTTTCCAGGGCAAGCTCTTCCGGGTGTTTTCCTGCCTCCCACCCCGTCCCATTGACGGGGACAATTCTGAGAGGGGATGACTCCAGCCCAGCCCAGCCCTCGGTCCATGTCCTGGGCACAGAAGCTGTCTCCAGCCTCATTCTCAAATCTACCAGGACCCCCAAAAGCTGTTGAGTAAAGCCCAAGGATGGTAGGAACGATGCAGGCAACCAAGATTTTCAGTTCAGTGCCTCTAAGGACGACTGGAGTCTCAACTGGTTTGTTAGCATTTACAAGCTGCTGTAAACCGATTCTGCCCATGACCTGGGGTCCTGCCTGGACCTCAACTACTGGATGAGCCCCTACAAGTGCATGCAGGGTCCTGCTTCCCCAGCTACTGGATGGGCACAGGCCTCCCCTAGAGACTGCTGTGAAAACAAGTAAAATGTTTTTGGAAGTAAAAATGTTAGAAAAACAAAGCCAATAAATGATGATTATTGTTGCTATTACTGTAATTATTGGGTTTGAATACAATTGCTGTTGATAATGGGAGGGAAGAAGGGAGAAAGGGAGATGATTGAGAGAAAAAGAGTACGTTTTTCTCATTTCATTTGCTCCCATCATGGGAGCCCTGCCTCCTTCTCTGCTGAGTCTACTGACCTGGGAGCTTTGTGAGTGTGTGTGGGGTGAGTTTCTGTGGAGCTTTGCGAGGGGGCGGGGGTGCTGGGGGAGGGACCCTGGAATGAAGAGACAAGCCAATAAAAGTTAGTTCTTCTCATCTCTATGGCGCCCATCACCATGGTATTCTGAGATGCAGCAACCAAATCCATAAAATAGATAGGCCTTTCCCTTTGGATAGGTCTCCAAAGGGGCTGGGGTGGGGGAGGGGCTGCCAGTCTTCCAAGCGCTGGGCGACAGGGCCGGCCTGTGACCAGTGCCAGAACAGTCCCCAGGACTCGTGGCCACAGCAGCCATGCTCAGTGTCAGTGCAGAGTACTGCTCACATCTCCCCAAGCTGGGCTGCACTCATCCATCTTCACAAAAGCGCCCAGGGCTTCTTATGCCTTTATGAGCAGGGATGGCTGTGTGTGTGTGTGTGTGTGTGTGTGTAGGATGTGACTGACTTGCTAAAGGTCACTTGGCTCAGTACCACAGCCCCCTAAGGTCTCCCTAGCTCCCAGCTTAGAATTTTCCAAAATAGTGCTCCAGGGGGGCTCACACAGGCTGCAGGCCCAGGATGGAAGGAAGCAGGAACTAGAAGGTTGAAGAGGGCAGGGGGTGGAGCTCCTGCAGCAGGCCCTTAGGCTCCTAGACAAATTATCTCCACATCCCCAGAGCCCAGCACACACGGGTGCTCAATAAAAGTCTGATGAATGAATGACTGAGGCTGGGCAGCTGGGAGGGAGAGGAGGTCGTGATTGATCAAGAGGAGGAGAATTCAGGAGTCACTGCTCCACATGAGCCAAGATGACAGCAGCCGGGAGCCTGCACTTGCCGGCAGGGGTAGCTGGAAGAGGGTGCAGTCACACTTGAGTCCCACCCTTACTCCAGAGCCAACTGTGTAACCTCTGTCCCAGGAACTTTGGACCAAAAGGGTAAGCAAGGGTGATTGCCAGAGGAGAAAGCTGGGGGCTACTTTCACAAATAGCTCTGTGAGGCTACGCTAGAGCACAGACCAGCTTCCTGAGAAGCGAGGAACTAGGTTACAACCTGAAGAGCATCCCAAGTTAGACAGGAGTGAGTAACAAAGGTGAGCTTCTCCTTCTCAGCAGCCCTTTAATAGGACAGCCAGCCATCTGTTTGGCCGCGGGAAGGGCTGGCCTTCAGGGAGCCAAATCTCAGCGGGTCCAGCCAGGGGCAGTGGGCTCCACGGTCACAGCCCCCGGCCTCGGGTGGGAGTGGGGAGCACAGGGAGGACAGAGACCCAGCCAAGCAGACCCTTGGCGCACACTCCCTTCCTCCTGTTTGTCAGGGGAAGTTTTTAATTAATGGTGTGTAATCTGATCTGGCCCTTCTCCCTGCTGAGCACTGCTTTCAATCAGCAGAGCCATCTGCAATTGCAATTCATAATTCTCCCCAAAGGGAGGGGGACTCCGGACGGGTGCCTTGGTGATTAATACAATTAGCCTTTTATGTTGATGATTGTCTTAGCAGGAGCAGATGATGCCGGCACAGAGCCTAGGCTGTCGCTTCCCCATTGGTTGGCAGGAAGCCCCTCTCCGCTTCCCACCCCACTGCTCCCTCGGGTGTAAAGAGGACAGGTCTCATCTGGAGCCACGCTGTGGACAGGGGAGGGCCCACTGAGGGGCCAGGTTCTGGGGCACATGTGGGCCCCATGGACTGAGGGAAGAGGAGGAGCAAGGTGATGATTCAGAGACGTACTTTCCAAGGAAAATCATTTTGACCTAAGGGATTCTGTACCCCAAGGTTAAAAGAAAAGAACTACTTAAGGTGAACTATAGGTTGAAAGGGCCGAGTTTAAATACGGGCTCAGGCACTTAGAGCTGTGTGCACTTGAGCACGTTACTTCAGGATCCGGAGCCTCACTTTCCTCACCTGGAAAATGGAGTTTGCTCCTAAGGGGCTGGAAGGACTACATGGGGTATACGTGTCCCGCACCGTGCCTAGTGCAACCAGTGGTAGCGGGTTTTACCCATCACAGTAGACTGCCATTCCCTCTGCCAATGAGTCTGGCTGTTTCTCCTGTGGTTTCTAACGCAGCCCAGCTATCAGTCAGGAAGGGATCCTTCCTCCCCATAATCCAGGCTTAGCTTGAGCAAAGGAGAGAGTCTGTAAGTATGAGTGTCAGGGGAGAAGGATCCAGAGGAAAGAGGAGTCAAGAATCAAACCCGAGAAAGAAATAGGACTCCTTGGAACAGAGACGTGGAGCACTGCAGTAATGGCAGCTGGGAGCTGGTTTGGGGGAGATTCAGGGAATGGGGGTAAGGAGGCTG